ATGTTAATCATGTGTCAGTATTAAATTGTAAAAAATTTTATGTTATTGTAAAAAACTGTTTTATGCACAAGACATAACATTATTTAACTACCAAAATGTTACATTAAACAAAGTTAATGTGCAAAAAAGTTATTTCTTAATTGTCTACAAAAATTAGTGATATCCTAAAAAAAATACCTTTTCAAAAAAAGGTAAAAAAAAGAAGTCGAGTCATCTCAGTAGTAAAACATTATTGTATAAAACTATTTTACAAAAAATTATTTTAATAAAAAATTGCTATATTAAAAAAAATTGTGTAAAATAGTTGTCATAACTATCTACAAAAATTAATGATATATTTAAATAGAAAATTACGTCGAGAATAAAAGAGTGCGATTTTATTTTATGTTTATCAACAGTGTGTATGTGTCTGTCTGTCTGTCTGTCTGTCTGTATGTGTGTGTGTGTGTGTTAGATGTGATTGACTGCTGATAAATAATTAGATGAAGAAAAATTATGTTTATATTTTCGTCGAAAGTTATTATATATTATAATGTGACATAATTGAGCACGAATTGTATTGGAATTTGCTAATGCAAATACGAATCATTATTAATAAATAATTAATTACACGAGTAATTGCATAGTACATAAATTAATTATATGATTGAAATACATATAATACGTAATTATATTATATGATTAATTATATCATCGAATTCTACTGTTCATTTATCATGACATACACATTATGTGCAATATTTGTGTATATGTGTGCTTCTCTATCATATGTCATATCTTGTATCTTTATTTATGATATAATGTATATCGTGCCGATGAAATTGGTAATTGTGTCACATTATATTTTATCCACAAAAAGTACACCATGTTGCAGTGTGTTATATTCTCATAGATAAATGCTAATGTATGATAAATGTAATCCGATTGTTGACGGATTTATTGCAACATTCACATAAGCAATTGATCGGAATGATAATTGCATCAATTTCTAATCATGTCACATGATTGACGTCATGACGCAGTCGATTTAACATTATTATCATAATTCGCAAATTTACATACGAAATGTCACTATGTCACTTTTTTATAAGCAGCCATATTGAATTTCGCATAAAAACTCGAAGTGTAATTGGCTGACTGTCCCTCACTTATTGTAACCTACTGCGCATCTATCGGAATGGTTCACCTTTCTACTTACATTATCTTATATATGATATATATATATATATAAATATACATATATTTATATAACCTAATATTTATCAAAATTATTGTTATCAGTGTGCTCATAGATATCATTGTGGCTTAACTTTTATCATAAGCACAAAAGTATTGTTTGGACAAGAATAATGAGCACAAAGTTTCTATTTGTTGAATCAGTTGAAATTTTGCGGAGTACCTTACCGCATTATCATACCTTTATAGAAGTGCTTTTAGTGATTTGGCTAGCATGGTTTATTTCTAAAAGACGAAATAACAATCATGAGTCAATACCATCAAAAGAATTAGTAGAACGTAAATTAGCAGAATATCGACCAGAATCTCTAGTACCAGAACTATTGAAACAACATCCATCGCTAAATCCTAAATACATCACTTCTAGAGTTGGAAAGAGAATAACAATTAATGGTAAAGATTGTCTCAATTTGGGTACACAAAATTATTTGGGTTTAAGCGATAGTGCAGAAATAGAGGACAGCGCAGTAACAGCTATAAAGAAATATGGTGTTGGCTCTTGTGGACCAAGAGGCTTTTATGGAACGGTTGATGTACATCTGGAATTAGAGGAACGCTTAGCTAGTTTTATGAATGCAGAAGAAGCTATTATTTACTCCTATGGATTTGCTACTATAGCATCTGCAATTCCAGCTTACTGTAAACGTAATGACTTGATATTTGTAGATGATCAAGTAAATTTTGCAATTCAAAAAGGATTAGATGCATCTCGTGGAAATATCAAATATTTTAAGCATAATAATGTTCAAGATTTACATAATTTATTAGTGAAACAAATGGAAGCAGATAAACAACATCCTAAGAAAGCTGCAAAAGCTAAACGTTTTCTGATCATTGAAGGTATCTATATGAATACAGGAAATATTTGTCCTTTGCCAGAATTATTAGATCTTTCCAAAAAATATAAGTTGAGAGTTTTTATTGACGAATCAATATCATTTGGTACCATTGGTCTACATGGAAAAGGTGTTACTGAATATTTTAATATTCCTAGAAGTGAAATAGACATGATAATGGGTAAGAAAAAAATGATATATTACAAAATCATAAATGATTAAATTATATATATATATATATATATATATATATATATTTATATTTATATATATATATATACACAGGGTGATTCATATAAAGTGACTGATGTGAATAATAGCTAAAGTTGAAGAACTATGAAAAAATTTGTATATCAAAAGATGTTTGACACAGAGAGGGACATCGTATGGTATAAACGATATTTTTATAGATAAAGGCATTAAGGAGATTTCAAGAACAACTTAATTTTTTAAAATAGAACCCTATGTTTTATTACGTATTCTTATGGCTTATCTCGAGAGCTTTCCAAAACACTATAATAAAGTATTTCTTCATTGAGTACTTTTCGAGTTATGAAGCTTGAAATAATTTCTTAATTTTACATAAACCATAAAATATCTAGTAAAATATTCATTTTTTGATTATCTTACCTTAATACTTTTATATACAAAATAATGAGAGGAATCAATTGGTGTAAAGAAAAAACATAGTTGTTTTTAAAAAAAAATATCTAATTTGCAATTAACAATTACATAGTTTTTCTTAAAAATAACTATGTTTTTCCTTTATATCAATTGATTCCTTTCATTATTTTGTACATAAAAGTATTAAGGTAAGATAATCGAAAAGTGAATATTTTACTAGATATTTTATGGTTTATGTAAAATTAAGAAATTATTTCGAGCCTCATAACTCGAAAAGTACTCAATGAAGATGTATTTTATTATAGTGTTTTGAAAAGCTCTCGAGATAAGCTATAAGAATACGTAATAAAAAATAGGGAATTCCATTTAAAAAAATTAAGTTGATTTTGAAATCTCCTTAATGTTTTCATCTATAAAAATATTGTTTGTACCATACAATGTCCCCCTCTGTGTCAAACATTTTTTGGTACAAAATGTTTTTCATAGCTCTTCGACTTTAGCTAACATTCACATCGGTCACTTTATATAATTCACCCTGTGTGTGTGTGTGTGTGTGTGTATATATATATATATATATATATATATATATATATATATATATATGTATATAATTATATTTATATTTTTTAGGATCTTTAGAAGCAGCTGTAGGAACTATTGGAGGTTTCTGTGTAGGAACATCATTTGTTATCGATCACCAACGTTTATCTGGCCTTGGTTATTGTTTTTCAGCATCTCAGCCACCTCTTTTGGCATCTGCTGCTATAACATCTTTGAATATCATGGAAAATAACTTGCAAATATTTCAGTTATTGAAAGATAATGCTTTAGCAATAGACAGCGGTCTTAAAGAAATATCAATGTTAGAATGCTCAAGTTTTGCAGAATCACCTTTGAAGCATGTATATTTAAAGGAAAAAAAAGATCGTGCTATTGAAGAGAAATTACTATCGGCAATATCTATTAAATGTGTAGAAAATAACTTGGCAGTTACACTTCCCGTTTATTTGGAAGCAGAAAAAGTTTTACCTAGACCTAGTCTTAAGCTTTGTATATCTGCTAGTTTAAATAAGAGTGATATCAATTTTGCGTTAAATATTTTGAAAAAATGTACAGAGGAAGTTTTATCATTTTATGATTGAAATAAATAAATCATAAAGAAAATATAATCTAAATAAATATAAATGTATGTGTATGTGTTTGTATTTACAGATATACCTAATATAAACATATATACATATTGATGCAGATGTAATTTGACGAATAAATTTTTTTTTAAACAAATAAATATTAGAGTTATTAAATATTTGTTATTATTACTAAATAATATTTAAGAAAAACAAAAAATAAAAACATGTTAAAAGACACGCACACGCACACACACATGTATATATATATTTTTTAATATATACTTTAACTATATTTATTGATAAAATATAGTTAAAAGTCTAGTTATAATCTATGAAGCTTTCCTTATATTTATTTATAAAATATTGTTAAAAGTCTCTATGATATTTCCTTATATTTATTGATAAAATATTGTTAAAAGTCTAATTATAATCTATGAAGCTTTTTAATTATCACCTAGTAAACGCTATATTCCTGGAATATTCATAAAATGTTCCTAAAATTTAAAATAAACATCCCAAGAATATTCTAAAACATTCCGGAATATTAAAATAAACGCAAAATGTTCCATTATTTATCCATATTTTGAATATTTTAGAAATATTCTTAAGGCCGCAGCACACACTTTTAACGCATAATGCATAAAGCATAAGGAAATCAACCAATCAGAGTCCTTCATTTCCATCCTTCCTTCTCATTCTGCGGATCTCACATAGTGCACAAAGCATAATGCATAAATAGTCGAAAAATCCGTAAAGGCCTATCCAGACAAACTTGCATAAGTGCATATGCATAACATAAGATCACATGGACCAATGAGCATCGAGTATTAAGTCGCCATATTGACTTATATAACATAATACTCGATGCTCATTGGTCCATGTGGTCTTATGTTATGCATATGCACCTATGCATAACATAAGACCATATGGACCAATGAGCATCGAGCATTAAATCGCTATATTGACTTACATAACATAATACTCGAAGCTCATTGGTCCATATGGTCTTATGTTATGCATATGCACCTATGTAAGTTTGTCTGGATAGGCCCTAAAGGCCGCAGCACACACTTTTGCATAAGCGCATAACCATAAGCATAAGAAAATTGATTGGTTCATTTTCTTATGCATATACTTGGGGACCAATCAAGTTCCTTATGCTTATGGTTATGCGCTTATGCAAAAGTGTGTGCTGCGGCCTTAAAGATGAATTCTTACGTTATGCAAGCAGATTTCAAGAAATTACTATGTCTTATGTACTAATTTTTCTAACCTATTTTAGGAGATTTCATCTAGCAAAGGAGATTTCATTTAGCAAATCTAAAAAGGAAAATAATATTGGTTAGTATTACAAAGTCTTAATTTTATAAATATTTTTCATATTTATATATATTTTGATATTTATTTTAAGTCAAATTAATTATGAATATTTTATATACCATTAGGTTATTGAAATGGATCATAGTTTTTATTTTTATGATTCTCAATATCAAAATGATTTTAATGAATTAAATAATGAAGATGATTCACAAAATGAAAAGGAGAATTCTTATGGAATAGATCAAAATGGAATAGATGGAGATGCTTCCCAGATAGCCAAGCTTGATATGACATATTCAGCAAACAAATGCATCGCATGTATTATTATATATTTGCAGTATACTTGCTGACATCGAGATAGAATACGTTACGAATGCAGCTATATGTCTGCTTCTATATGCAAATAATTAACGAAGCAAATGGTCTGCAATATTGATATATTACGTTGTCTACAACATGTCAGCAATATGTTGACACGTTGCAATTAATTTGTTGTTATTAGCACATGAATTCATGTGAGTTCCACGTAACAGACATTATGCTGTCTCACCTTGTCTCTAGTTTGTTAAAATTAGTTGATTCAATAATTATTGGCAACATGACAGCAACCTCATTGCATTTGGCTATCTGGGTTTGCTCATATCTTTAGTGCGCAACTATCCCTATTTATATAATAAAGAGTTAACTGACTTCAAAGATATTATTAAAAAGCAGAATGCCTGGACAGAAATAGGAAATATATTAAATATGACAGGTATATAATATTTTTCTACATTTGTTTTATTTTTATAAATTTATAAGTCTTTTAACAGAATGAATGATATATAATTTTAAGATGTTTTTTGTTCAGTGGTAGTTTTGTCTTCTGTAATAAATCTTGTGTTTCAAATCTTAAATAAAAATTGTTACGGAAACAATTTGCAAGAAATAATGTATAAAAACACATAAAAGTATCTGCTACAATTAGTAATAATAGATTAATAATAAGAGATAAATATTGAAAAAAACATTATTATAAAATTAAAAACATGTTCCATGTTTGAGTATCAAAACTTGAGACCTTACTAATTTTACTAAGGTTTTATAGATTATAAGCAATTTAATGTCATTTTCATTGCTAGCGGACGAGTGTCAATCTAGGTGGACACGATTAAGAGAACGATATGCAAGAGAGAAAAAGCAAAAATAGGAAGAAACAACTACTGGAAGTGGTGCTTTAAAGAGGAAGTCTTTCGAATTTTTTGAAAATATGCAGTTCTTAGAACGATTTGTTAAGAGAAGAAGGTAATAATAATAATAAAATTTGAAAAAATCTATATTGAATAAATAATAAAAAGTATTTTTAGTTTAATTGTAAGACAAAAAAATACTTTATGACTATATTTTATATTCTTCTTACAATAGCATTTTTTGTATAATATAAGCGATTTTTGACTACTTTTTCTTTTTTTAGAACAATATCCAATGTGTATAAGAAAACATACCTCCATCAACAAAATGTATCAATCTTCAAAAGTGTGTAAAATATTAATTCTAATATTTATTTAAAATGCAAAGCGCTTCTATATCAGGAATAACATTACAATTTTCTATTATAGAAATTTTGGTTCACGTGGCGGAGAAAACTCAACTTCTTCAATGATCGAGTCTACTTTAATTTTACCATCTTCAAAAGATAGCAGTGAAAAAACAGATTCAGAAAAAAATATAATTAAAATAGATTTAACTGAAAATAGATTTAATGAAAAACGAATCAATAAATCTCCTATACCTAATAGTTTAGTTCAGCAATCTTTAACAAAAGATACAGATTTGACACATAAATATAAAGTAAATATTTCCATTTATTTTGTTAGTTTGCCATAACTTTCATTTATCCTAATATTATTAATATTATTTGGCGCAAATTATATACATGCGCATACAGACAAAGATTTATATGTTTAAAACGCTTTATATTTTTTAGAGATTCAATTTCAGATGATTGCTCAAATAATACCTCTTCATCAGTATTAAATATTTCTAATGATTTGAGGAAGAAAAATTTTACTGTACAACGAAAAATCACCGGACGTCATAGAAAATGCTATTTGTAAAGTTTCATCTCTATTAGAGAACAAATTCATTCCAACAGCTGCATCATCATCATCAATATTAAATCTAGAAATAACAGAAAATATGGCTTTTTGCCAATTAATATTATCTTCACTTAACGCGATGTCTCCACAAAAAAATGCAGAGAAAAAAAAAGAAATGCTACGTATTATATACGATATTTAAAATCTAAAATCTTAATAGAACTCCGATTATCCAGACGATTAGTTATCCAAAAGTTTGCTGCAAAAGATTTTGTTTACGATTTTTTTCTTGTTATGATTATTATATAATAAATAGTAAATACATATATAATTTATTTCAGGACGTTCTATTTTTTGGATAATCGGTGTTCTGTATATCACTGATACTGATGTAATACTGATGACGCTGTGATGTATTACTACACACTGTGATATTTAAAATACACTATATTTTTTATTATAAAAAAGAATTAATACTTTTATTTATTAGTATTTTTATTATAAAAAAATTATATTCTTTAATAATACTGCCAATTACAAATTTTAAAATGTACTACTTATAATTTTCTTTTTTCATACATTAAATGTTAAAAAGAATCGACATTAATGTATTATTCATATTTTTATTTATATTATGAGCTTAATTAAATATAGATAAGTATATCTGGGAATTAAGCTTTACTTTCACTGCAATTTTTTGTTTCTTTGTAAAAGTTTATTATATGTTACTTTTTCTTTTATTATAATGATATTAAAAGTACAAAATAAAACAATATTTTACAACATTTTTATAATTTTGTTATCTTGATGAACACATTTTTTTGTATACCCCAACAGCACCGAGTCGACTATTAGTCGGCTGTCAGTTGGCAAAAGGTATGTTATATATTTTAAATATATAATATACATTATACATTGAAAGTAATAAAATTAAATTTTTGACAAATGTCATTATGAAAATAAAAATTTGGTAGTAAATGTACAAATGTAAGTGGATATAATAAAATAGTGAAAGAGAGAACAAAAGTTATTTGTTTATAGTATTTAATGTTATTTAGAAAAAATATAAATGTTTTATGTTACATCTTAATATATATTACAAAATATATAATTTGCAATTAACAATTCCATATTTTTTCTTAAAAACAACTGTATGTTTTCTTTACACCAATTGATTCCTCTCATTATTTTGTACATAAAAGTATGAAGGTAAGATAATCGAAAAATGAATGGTTTACTAGATATTTTATGGTTTATGTAAAATTAAGAAATTATTTCAAGCCTTATAATTCAAAAAGTACTTAATAAAAAGGTACTTAATTATAGTGTTTTGGAAAGCTCTCGAGATAAGCTACAAGAATATGCAATGAAAAATAGGGGGTTCCATTTAAGATTTCAAACTTGCCCCCCCTCACCGCCCAGCGGGAAGGGTGGGGGGGCTGATTTTAACGTCATTGTACGTCCCCCTCGAAATGACGAAATTTTGATTCTATCCGTTTTTTCGTAGTGTGCTTATTTTTCGAGTTATTTGGCTGCCTAAGTTAAAATGGGTCACCCTGTATATATATATATATATATATATATATATATATATATATATGAAAAGATTATATGTATATATAATCTTTTTATATATTTTTACCTTCCATATTATTGGCAGTTTTGCATGACAGAAATTTTTATTAAATATAATAATTACATATGATAAAATATAATAACGCTTTGCAAGCAAATAATGCAGTAAGAATTTTTGAAATACATGAAGATTATACAGGGTGAGGCATCTAAAACAGGCCACCTGAATAACTCCGTTGGTAAGCCGAATACAAAAAAATTGTTCAGACAAAAGTTGTATGGTTTCAAGGGGGACATATGATGGTGTCATTAGTTTAATCTTGAAGAGCCACCCGAAGGTCACGTGAAGGTCAGCTTCAACTTTTTAAATGGGACACCTCATATGCTTTTGCATATTCTTGTAGCTCATCTCAAGAGCTTTCCAAAACACTACAATTATGTTAGTTTTCATTAAATACTTTCCAAGTTATGAGGCTTGAAATCATTTTTTAATTTTACATAAACCGTAAAATATCTTGTAAAATATTCATTTTTCGATTATTTTACCTTAATACTTTTATGTACAAAATAATGAGAAGAATCAATTGGTGTAAAGAAAATACATAATTGCTTCGAACAAAAAAATGTAATTTGCAATTAACAATTACATTTTTTTGTTCGAAGCAATTATGTGTTTTCTTTACACCAATTGATTCTTCTCATTATTTTGTACATAAAAGTATTAATGTAAAATAATCGAAAAATGAATATTTTACAAGATATTTTACGGTTTATGTAAAATTAAAAAATGATTTCAAGCCTCATAACTTGGAAAGTATTTAATGAAAACTACTAACATAATTGTAGTGTTTTGGAAAGCTCTTGAGATGAGCTACAAGAATATGCAAAAGCATATAAGGTGTCCCATTTAAAAAGTTGGAGCTGACCTTCACGTGACCTTCGGGTGGCTCTTCAAGATTAAACTAATGACACCATCATATGTCCCCCTTGAAACCATACAACTTTTGTCTGAACAATTTTTTTATATTCGGCTTACCAACGGAGTTATTCAGGTGGCCTGTTTTAGATGCCTCACCCTGTATATTCAGTTTTAAATAACAATATTTAATCATTACTACATAAAGATAATTATAAATATAATAGCACTTGTATTTAAACGACTGTTTTTATTACACAAAGTACTTTTCTATTTAATGATTTTTAATAATAATATTTTACAGTATAATTAATATTTCTAATAACATATTACTATTTGCATTCAAAACAGTTTATCCATCGTATGGATTACTTTGTCTCTAGAACATATCTACGTAGCGTTTTCTCTAACAATAAATAATATTATTAGTCTCATTATCTCGCATAAATACTTCCACTTCCCACATAGAAATTGACATCCAGTGGATGTCCATTAAACGGCCATAGCTCCATAGGACATCTATCTCCATGATGGAAGTTAGATAGACGTCCATTTAGAGATCCATTAAATCTCCATAAGTCTATGATATGTTGATTTCCACGATGGAAGTCAGACAGACGTCCATTAGAAATCCATAAAACCTCCATAGATCTATGAGATGTTTACTTCCGCGATAGAAGTCAAACAGATGTCTGTTAGAGATCCATTCAACTTCCATAGCACTCAGACGTTGACATCCACGATGGAAGTCAGATAGACGTCCATTAGACATCCACTAAAGCTCCGTAACTCTGTGGAATGTTTACTTCCACGGTAGAAGTTAGATAGACGTCTATTAGAGATCCATTCAAACTTTATAGCAATGAAATATGTTTACTTCCACGGTGGAAGTTAGAGAGACGTCCATTAGAAATCCATTAAACTTCCGCAGCTCTGTGGAATGGTTGACTTTCATCGCCTGAAAATCAGACGTCTATTAGAGATCCATTCTGCATTTATAATAAATATCTTATACAAATATCTTATAGACATCTATTAGACATTTATTAGGGATGATAATTGATATAAATAATTAATACTTAAGTAGATAATTAATATTATGAATATTCTTATTCGGAACTTGACATCCAATGGACGTTCATACAACCTTCATAACTCCATACGACATCTATGTCCATAGTGGATATTGAATAGATTTCTAATGAAAGTCCATATTATCTCTCATGGTAGATATCTTCTACAAATCCATCATGAATGTCTACTGGATATCTGTTATGGATATATGATAGATTTTTACATACATATATCTCTAATAGAAATCCATATTACCTCCATGGTAGATGTCATCTACAAATCCATCATGGATGTCTATTAGACATCTGTTATGGATATATGACAGGTTTTTACATACAACTATATCTCTAATAGAACTCCATATTACTTCCATGGTAGATAAAATATTCATATAGTTCCACGAGCTTCACGTTTCGCCGCTAGGTGGCGAAAAGGAAAACGCCTAACTCGTAAGTGGAATTCATTTAAGACGGTAATATAAGGCCGCAGCATACGACCACAAATCACGGCTTATCGGTCAAAGAGAGCAGACTATTATAGTCGCACCTCCTCTAGCTTTTGCAAGGAGCTCGAGGGCTCCATATAATTAATCGCAGATGGTTAATTTTTTTTTAAATTCTATCATATATGTATCTATATACAGAACATTAAATCGATCAAGTTTTTGAGAAATGACAAAAATAAAAATTTAGTGGTTAATGGACATGATATTAAATTGACTAAAAAATTCATTTATAATCGCCATAACGTATATCTGATATCCATAATAACTTCACAAAATATCTATAAAACTTGATATAACACTTGATATACATAAGCCATCTATGAATACGTCTAATGGATGTCGAATGGAGGTATGAAATGCGGAACTGTGGATGTCTAGTAGACGTATATGGGACGTTTCATGAACATCTAATGAGGAAGTTTCGAATCTTAGACGTCTAGTAGACATCCATTAGAGGTTTTTGTTTCGTGTGGGAAAACGTCAATTAATCGTCTACCTAGGCTCTATGAATCCTTCTATTAATGATGGAACATCGATTAATCGTCCATCAAGGTCTCACGAATCCTCTATTAATGTTCCACAGACTGTCTAATGGATATCTTTAAAAATGTCTAATGGAGGTCCAATGGATGTACATAATGCGGAACTATGGATATTTTGTGGTCGTCCATTGGATGTCTAATAGACATCTAGTGGAAGTTTTAAATATCCATGATAAACGTCTAATGAACGTCCATTAGAGGTTTCTGTTCTATGTGGGTATATATATATATATATATATATATATATATATATATAATATATTTAGAAGGCAGAATATTAATATATGTGTAAATGAAATCAAATACAAGTTAGTAAGAATGGAAACAAATTTCAAAATAAATGAAGTGACTAAAATATTTATTATGCCATTATTATAAACAATTCAATTCGAAAATTGTTAGCAAAATAGAAGATTTACCGATTTAATGTAAAAATCAATTTTATTATAATATATATTTTTTTTAATCTTCCAGCTTCATTTTTAATTAAAATGGCATTATAATATTATTAGATTCCAATTAAAATATCTTCTTTTTCTAAGCATGCAACTTTGTCCACTGCTTCTTAATATATTTCTGTTAGAAATGTATTGTATTTATTTAACGTATTTTTTTTATTAAAAAAAACACATGGATATACATATAATAGAAATAAATACACACTTACTGGCATGTTCTTTTAAAATTACAGAATAAACAGGTCATTCTTCCAATGGATACTAAATATTTTTTTATTATAATGTAGCATAGTTCTTGAACACACCTTACAGAAACAAAAAACTAACTAATTCGTAATGATGGTCATATGTCACATTTTTCTTTGT